GCTAACATTGCCTTGCCTGTACAAGGGAGATCAATCATAGCGTGTTCCTGTGCTGTTGAAGGGACATTTTTCAATTTAACCTTTATATTATGTCTTGACTACATCAGAGGAGGCTTTCAACGCACTTAACATGAGTGGCATTTAATATAGCATAACACTTGCAAGGTGAGGCCGAGATGTGACCCTATTTAAATACAGAGGCCCCTGCCTAAGCCTTAACGGCAACACCTCCCCCAACAAACACACACAAACCTCCTGACGCAATTATAATTAAACACACCTTACGCCTCCTTTGCAAATGCCCCTCATCGATCTGTGGGTTTTTAACATTCATATGTGAACTGCCCCCCAGCAAACGTCTGCGGCTGCACAAATGTTTATGGATCAGCAAGTTTCCATTAACAAAGTTGTTGATGTTGAATAGTGGGGGCTGCTGCTGCCGTGATGCCGCGGATATATTTGGGTAAATTAACTTAGCATAAAGTGCTCCGAGGCTACGGGAGTCTTTTCAGGCAGCTAAAGAGAAAGCAAGGCACCAGTCAGGCCCGAAAAGTCAATTCACATATTATGTTGTCGGGGAATATATGAAACTGTAGCTACTGGCACATTGTCCCGATGAATGTCCTCTATTAAATAACTATTCTAAATTCATCCGTTTGGTTTCATTCCTAGTTAATGCTTCTAACACTTTGTTCATGATTATGTGCAGTACTATTTCTCGTTTAGGCGTGTGGGAATTTATTTAGTTTGAGACTTCATTATGCTGCTGCAGGTAAAATGAGCAGCTCAGGGCGAGAAACGGCAGAGATGGCGCGTAAAAGAAATTGGGAAACCATTGATCTGCAACGTTTAATATAAAGTAAATCATAAACACAATTAGGTCATTTCATCTTGAGTGTTTGTTTAGCGATCAGATTGCACCGAGGCTGTGGTGGGGATTATAGGGATGAAGATAAATATTAGTGTGTTGTTTTCTTTGCGTTTTCTCCCTCTGTGGTTGAAGGAGTATGAATGATCTGCACTGGAAAGACAGTATGAGCTACCAGCTAATGAAGAACAGCGAAATAGCCTGAGGCCTTTGATACACACACATCTGCAGGTGCACTTTAAGGCAGGAACGTGCTATTATTTGAAAATGGCTTCAAGTGTGTGCGTGTGTGTGTGTGTGTGTGTGTGTGTGTGTGTGTGTGGTAATAAGAAAATCAACACGACGTGTCAATCAATGGCAGTTGGTGGACGTGTTTACATTTTGCCTGTTAGAGGGATGTCCCTGCTAGGAATACCAGAAGTGCTTTTCCAGAAAGAAAATGGAAAATATTAAATTTAATAAAAGAAGGGGCTTGACATTCAAATGAAAATATAACTCAGAAATCTGCCAGAAATCTGTTTAAATTTGTCAGTTCTCATTTAATCAACGCTCCACATGTGGTAGAGTTTCAGGAAAGGTCCATGCGCTAGAGGGTCATGATTAGATCCTTTGACCTCCTGTTGGATTACTATGGAAGCCCATAGGGGACTTTATTAAAATGATAGAGTAAACTTGAAAAAAATGCAATTCCACAACACCACACACCTTTTCCTCGTATGTATGTGTTATATTTCAAAAATGTAATTGCAAAAATCCAATTTTCATTAGTATGAGTGCTCTATGACCATCTATAAAACGAAAATGGAAAAGCTGTTTGACATTTAATTTCCAAAGTAGTTTCCCTGCTGGGCAATGTCAAAATATTAATTCAAACTTGAAAATTGAAATGCACTGTTATACAATGCAACCTACATGCATTTAAAAAAAAAATGAAATTTTCAAACTATTTGAAAATTAAATAGTGGTTGATGCTTCATTTTCTGCGTTGCTTTACAGTGGACAATACTCAAAATCAATAAGCAAAACAGTGTCACATGTCACCGCATTCTTTTGTTGTGAAAATGAAAATGCAATCTGATGGCAGTAACTTCTGTGGTAAACACACAAGCTTTTCCATCCCTCACCAACCGAACTCTCTCTCAACAACACAAGCCACTAGCCCGAGGAGTCCCATGTCAGCAGGCACGTGTTCATTGGAGATAGGTTGGGGCATTGGCCCTGCCGCCTCCCTTATTCCTGAATAGCTGATGCTACTAGTCACTAATATGCTTATTATATTTTCATGATGGTAATGGGTTAGGGATGATCCAAGGGACCCATTGACCTCCACACCCTGGGGGCGGAAAAAGAAGAGCCACTTGCTTCCAGTCTCTGGGATGTTCAGTGTCGTCGGTTCACTTTCAGCAAACCGGTCAGTATTATAAGCAATATTCCAACTGGCCTCCTGCATTAACATAACACACATTCTCAACGAGTAAGTTAAAAGAACCCGAATGGCAAGAAGCTTGTAGATTAATATTTGTTGCATTACTCACTGATACATATTTAGTTGGTTAATCAGTTGAGTAGCATTCATTGTGCATATGAAGAAAAGGAGTGAGATGAAACTAAGAAGATGTCTCAATAAACAGCTGATGTCTTTAAAATATGCGTGCACTTGTTGGCAATGGAAGAGTTAGCAAGCTTTAAACATTGAATACAAACTGTTCAATGTCTGTTTTTTTCATGTTTGGTTGTTAGAATCAATATTCTAACAACAGACTCAGCTTCTACAGAATTCCGGCAGGATCATGACCGTTTCAGAGCGACAGGTTAGAGTCGTTGCATCTCCTGACGGAACACCACCACGCTTTAATTTCATTGTATACTATGTCAAAAAAATTCATGAAAAAACACATACTATACTGTGTAAAAAAAGGTCACAAAAAAGTATAGTATGTGGAAAACGTCATAATAAAGTATGTCGAAAAAAGTTATAGTATGGAATGTCCAAAGATTCATAGTATAGTATGTTAAACAATTTCAGAAAAAAGTCACAGTATAGTATGTTGAAATTTTTGTGAAAAAGGCATAAAAAATGTATAGTATAGTATGTCCAAAAAATGTTGAAAAAAAGTCATAGTATGTCGGAAAAAGTTACGAAAAAATAATAGTATAGTTTGTAGCAAAACATCCTAAAAAAGTGATATTTTTATTCTGCAAAGTAAATAAAATGAGCAAATGTAGTGGAATACAAAGTACAACATTTGCTTCTGAATCGTAGTGGGGTAGCAGTATAAAGAAACAGAAAACTGATTATACTCAAGTAAAGTACAAGTACCTCAAAGCTTTACTTAAGTACAGTATTTAGTGAATGTACTTACTTACTTAGTTGCTCTCTACTACTGATAATCTTTACTAGATATACAGGAGGCAGAGCCAAGTAATAACATAATGCGATAAAGATAAACACTGAATTCCCTTACAGCAGATATAATGTACTGTATACCGAGTACAGGCACTTGTCAAATGTGAAATAATAAAATCAAAGTGATGAGTTTTGGGAGAAATTTAAACAGTGATTGTCGATTGTCTATATTTCTTTGAAATATAAAAATGATTAGGGAGCCCTGGTGGCCTCTGGGTTTAGGCACCAACTGAAACGCATCATCTGGTCGGGGACCTTTGTTGGACGTCATTCCCCATCTCTCCACTTCAAACTATCTAATCAAAGCCATAAAATGCCCCCCATCATTTTATTGACACAATATTCATACCAGCACTCTACACAGTAAATAAATCAATATATGTACTATTCTAAAAGTAGTTAGAATACATTACTATATATACTTATATATACTTTTTTTTGTATTTCCCTAAAAATAACAGTAGCATTTACAATTTTGATTACTTCTCATGTCAAGTAACAGATGTCAGTTGTACAATAATGGATTATGCTTTGATCCTGCTTGTTGGCGCTCACGGTTGAGTTGTTATATGATCAAGTTCTGTGTTGCAAAGCAGATCCATTGCACTGTGTCAGCATAACATGCAATGCAACTACAATGCACCACAGCTCTGGCCAGCATTTGCACGCTCACTCCGAACATTTGCTTGATGGTGGATCCAGAGGTTGCTGTGGTGATTCCTGCAAGTAGTTTTAAGCTGCTTTATGGGTGATAAAGCTGTCTAGTGTTAGTTTTATCGATGGTTCAAGTGGAAGGACGATCCTTTTCCTCTCGATTTGAACACTCACAAGTGTGTGATCAGGCTCTGTAGTCCAACCACCAGGGTGTGCTATCTAGCTGCTTGTGGAGAGGGGGATCACTAACAGCAGGTTGGGGGGGCGGCATCAATCTCAGGAGTAGAGCCTGATGCTCTATATTTCAGATTCTTGAGAGTCCAACCGCTCCACACACTCGGGCCTCTGCAACAGATGCAAAATGTTAGTTATTGTGATGCTCGCCAAGAGATGAGCAATGTGTTCAAATTCAGCAGTGTTGAGGTTAGATTTCTGTCCGTCTCACTATCAACACATACAGTAGTGGTAACAAGTTTACACCAACAAGCAGCACATGTTGCCTCAGACAAATTGCCACCAGATTTAAATGCATCCTAAAAAAACAGAATACATTTGTAAACATTACATTTAGAATTTTCTTTCAGTGATTAACTTGAAAACATAAAAGCATCCATTTACCTCTTGAAGAGAAATCCACAAGCTCTTTTGTGCAATATGAATTTAAATAGGTTATAAAGTCTAATTTAAAACCAGCACATGTTGAGTCAAACCGGGACCCTGTGCACTAGTGTATTCCAGTCTACTGTCCGACAGACACACGCCTCTTTTTCTTTTCCTTTGACCGGGAAAACGCACCAGTGGCCAAGGCTGAATGTGTGGGGCCATATTGTGGGATGAGGCGATTCCAGAGGACCAATGGGGAAGCCCCTGGTGAGGGGCCCATGGGCCTCTAGGCAGGGTTTACTGCAGGTCAGCTTCAGCTATTAGCATCTGAAGAAGGAGCCAGGAGAAAGGATGGTATGCCAAGGAGAGGACTGGAGTAGTGGCAGCAGCACATTGTTGTGCAGTAAATAGCCGTTTACATTCTGCAGGAAATACAAGACCGCAAAAATAAAAGACAAACTGCAAGGATGCGGACACACTGCTAATGTTTTATTAGAGTTCATGCATAAGTCAAACAACACAAAGAGAAATGGGAGATGAGGCAACTCAGGACAGAAGCAGTCTCACAAAGCACAGCCTCGCTTATCGGCATCTCTGTTCACATCATCCAGTGACATACAAAGAAACACGTTGTTCCTCTGCAGAACAGAGATGACTGGCAAAGTCTGGGGTACGCTGAGATTCAGTTACAAACCACTGACGGAGCTCACACTGATATAAAGCAGCTTGATCCTGGGCGGTATCAAACAGGATAGTAACAACATGTATTCTTTAAAACACATTTGTAAGCTTCTTTTTTTTTTTTTTCTTCTTCAATCAACTGAGATAAAAAGATTTCTGCGTTACAGAACAGCTGAGAGAGAGAGACACACACACACACACACATACACACACACTCTGAACACCAAAACAAGGAAACAGGAGGAGAGGTTTCCCTTTCAAAATGTGCAATGTTGATGCTTTGTCGAAAGTGTCCAACTTAATCCATTTCGTCATGTGCGCACACGTCAGAGTGAAACTATTTAAATACGTCTCCTTCATGAGATAAATGGGAGAACTGGTTCTCTTGCAGCTGTGAGTCAGTGATGGGCCGCTCTTCATTTTATGTCCATATTTTTACTGTACGGACATATTCAACCAAGAATATCCACATAACCAATACAACCATAAAACACGAAATACATTAGCTAGCAGCAATGTATAAAAAGGAAAATCTGAACTTCATCAACAAAAACACACAAACACACACCGTTATGACAACTCCTCATTCTGTCCCTTCTACATTTCCCATTTTTCTTTTGCACAATAAAGCGATTTAAAATACTGATCTGAAGATGGGAAAAAAAATAGTTCTGAATAAATTATTTCTACACTTCAGCTCAAATATTTCCAAACAGTTCTCATTTAATTACATCTGGGGTTAAGTGTCAGCTGATTTACAGTACAGGTCGAACGGTAACGCGGCTGTCAAGGTGCACGCTTGTTTTAAGCTCGTGGGGATTGTGTAACATGTTGCATGTGTTAGCATCGAAAGAGGGAAAATGTCTCATTTTGTAGCACGGTGTCTGCAGCCGGCTCATTCCCTGAAAACAAATGTCATGTTGAAAGGTCAGGCCTTTTAAGATGTCAGCATAAAGAAACGAGGGAGAAAACACAGAAATAGAACAGCTTTTTGTGGTGTGATATCGCCTCCTCATTACATCCCTGGATATTAAGCTGTGAATTCTAAATCAAAAGACAGGATTATGTACCGGCAACCCAAATTATCCAAGAAACTTCCTCCCACATCCAGAAGAAAAGCACAATTTTGGTCTGAAATCATACAGAACACAATCTACTCAAAAGGGGGCGTTAAAACCTAAGAGTCAGTGAGTAAAAACCCACCGATGACAGCGTGTGTCTCTGCAGCTTCTGGGATTCCGTTCACAACAACAAGACCGCTCCTGTGAACTCAACCCGTGGAAATTCATGACACCGAGCATCTGTGCTCAGTCAAAAGAAGATTACATGATTACATAAAAGGGATAATTACACAGCAAATGCAATTAACTACCTGCAAAAAATTCAGACGGCAGGTGTAGGTGAATAAAATCTCAGCAAAAATAATCTCAACAACAGCGGTGGTTACGTTTGTCAAAGAAAAATATACAACATGTGATTTAGAGGGTAAAAGGACGCATTTGTTGGCGTTGTGCGCAATTATGCCAATCACAAAAACTATCTTCCCTTCTTCTTCTTCCGTTTAAATGAGTTTTTGTAGATGATCAGATGTATAGATTCCCTTTCTTTGTGAAAGCTGACCCCAGTGAGGTACATCCCTATTGTCAAAGCAGCTGGAGGATAAAGCCTTTTCAAAAAACAATCTACATTAAATCAACACCTCTTTCTCTGTAGCTTAAATATACACACAACTAATAAACTGGACTTTTGTCATTTACACATTTACAATTCAACTGGGACTGACGTGCAGTGCAGTACTGCGATGTGATGGGCACTTCCGCCGCAATAACAACCGTAATGTTTCTGTCGGGGGTTTCTGCTCGTAGTAAAAACTTACATGATGAAGGATGGTGGTGTTAATGCATGCTTTCAGGGCTCTGGGTAAGAAATTGATTCCCTACTAATAATGACAAGGACAGCCAAACTCTCTTTTACAAAACTCTCTTTTTTTTTTTGAGGATTAGCTGCAACATGAAGCTCTGCAGTCCACAACAGGTGGAGGGAGATTCCTCACACATGAAGAAGAAGGAGGAAGCAGGCTGCTGCCTTGTAGTCTCTGACACCGGTCATCATGTGGGTGAGATCCATCGTCTGGTGGCACCATCAAAACAGGCCATTCTCTTGGTTTTCCCTTTCTTGTGAGAAATGAACAGAGCGCATGAATGATTCCCTTTTTATAAAGGAGAGCATTTCCAAATCTGTAGTGTAATGAAGAAGTGTTGAATCCTAACGGCGGCGGGTGTATTTTAGTGTCGGGTCAGTCTGTCCTCGGGTGATGCTGCTCGGCTGGTTTGGGTCTTAGGCTGGGGGGGGGAAATCAGAGGTCAGAAAGGTAGAAGGTCCAGGTCTACATGGCGAACAAAGCATCCTCCGGCCTGTCCGGCTTCTTGCGGTTGGGGGTTCCCTGCGCTGCACCCGGCTCGCCACTGGGGGGCGACGGTAAGCTGGGGACAATCTCTGCAGCTTTGGCTCTCTCCTCGAGGAACTTGTCGAACTCTGGAAGTGTTGGACCACCGGAAGGAGAAAGAAGAAAACAAAAAGGAGGAACAGAATGTTGACTTGAGAGAAGAAGTGGATGAAATGTAACAAAGCAGGAAATCAACAGATGGGAAATTAGAGGAAAAAAAGATTTATGACCGACCTTCACTTGTCACACCGTCTTCACCTTCATCCCCCTTCTGGTGAAAAAAAACAAAAAGACAACAATGTCACACCTGAGAGTTGACTGCTAAACCTAATCCATTGCAAACCACCGCAAACCAAGTTCAGTTCTGATCCAGTGCATGTGCCCAAAATCACCACACACCACACTCTCACTCCTACTCACCAGTTTTATTACATAACAAGAAGCTACTCACCTGACGTTACCACTCACCCAAAATTGTGCAAATAATCTTTTAATTAATAATAATAATAATAATAATAATAATAATAATAATACACCAGTTGTTTCCCAACCAAAACAACCAGATATCACCACTCAATACCGCAACACCATCGCATACATTTGTGTTCAAATGAGCATGAACTCTTGTAATGCTTCACTGCTCATTCTCGGCCACAAACACAAAATTAAACACGTCTTTCTTAACATTAAAAAAGGCGAAGATATGGTTATGTTAACAAAAACAATTTGATCTCGGGTAAAGATCTCACGCAGTAGAATAAACTTTATCCCCGATTGTTCAAGTTGGAGCCATATGGATACAGTCATTCATAACCCAGAATGTTCATGGCAATGATCATGATCTCTCATGAGCATGATCTCTCACAGCAACACGCGTCTGCATTCAAACCTTCATGCTCATTTTACACTATTTTGTGGTGTTAGTTTGTCCCCATAACACAGCGTTAGTAACTTAAAGTCAACGAGGATATCAGTGTGGGATTGGCCAGAAAGTGAGGAAATGTAATGTTAAAGGAATGTGATACCTTCTGGCTTTGAAGGTACGATAAGGAGATAAAACAGCGTGGAAAAGGAAAGAGAAGGGGGGAGAGAGAGAACTGCAGGCAGAAATAAAAATCACGACGGGCTCACCACATCAGTACACAGCCACTCCTCTATGTCATCCATGACAGAGGACTGGCCTCCGACACTCTACGGAGCAGCGTCAAGATGGCAACAGGTGGCCGGAGGGCGGCAATGCCACAAAAGAAAAGAAAGAAAGAAAAAAAAAAGAATCCCGCCCCAAACACAACAGAAAATGTGACTTAAATGAACTTCAGCGTGAACTCAAATGCAACTTAAGAACGTATTTTGTGAGGGGAAAAAAATAAAGATGGAGATCAAATCACACACAGTGACGACCGTGACAATGAGTCACGTTGACATGCAGGAGAAACCAACAAACAGAGCACTTTGCAAACGCTGATTAAGATGGGACTGCAGTGTGAAGACGTGGAATATGAACGGTGAGGGCAACAGCATCTCTTACAGCACAGCAGATCGCCTTGGCCAGTAACCACCAGGTTCATCATTTCACCATTTCCCCCACAGAGCACATAAAACAAACCGATTAGCTACAGCCATTCCCTTTCCTGTTTGATGGTTCAGTTAGTGTGAAAGCAGGGTTAAGATGCACACACTACAACTGACAAGATACAAATCTTTGTCTTGTGTTAGTAATGCATGAAAAACAACAGAATGAGTAGCAGCTGGGATTCTTGAAAAAATAAAATGCACCGGAAGCATGTTGAGACTGAGCAAAAACAACAACAAAACAGCTGGAAATGTAGCCTGATTACTTAAAACATTGCTGTTAGAACTACAAGCTCGGTTAGAATCACAAACAGACAAAAAAAGAAAAGTTTAAAGTCGTTTTCTCCTTTTGTTAACTAACTGAGTGATTAGTCGCATCCAGCAGCACCAGTGAGGAGAAATGTCTGGTACAGGTGCATGGCACACATACAAACACACAGATGTTTTTTGAGTGGTTATAAAAACACCGACTGAGAATTAAAGCCCACTCTAGACATAAAGGCCTCTGTCACTGAGACTCACCGCTCCTGCAGTCGGCTGCTGGACGTCCAGAGTGGGAGGAAGGCTTTCAGAGGCGTTGCTGTCTTCTGCTGTCGCGCTAAGACAAGAGGTAGAAAATAGGCTTTAAGAATCCCGCTTTGCCTCATTTTTCCTAATTGAACATATGAATATAGCTTCCTTACGTATTGCGTGTTTCAGGCAGAGCTCCAGTCCTGGTCTGAGCAAACACATCAAAGTCATCCTGGCCAAGAGGAGGCTTACAGCTTGACAGAGAGCTCAAAGTACTGCTCACACTGTCAGCGCCCACGTCTGGAGGGGAAAAACAACACACTCGATTGTCTACCGCATAAAAACAGAACTCCACTGCTTCAACAAAGGAAATGGAATAGTCACTATTTCACTGTTTAATAGAGTCTATCCTCTAAAGGAAATATCCTCCAGCAAACACTGCTGGTGCTAAATTAGAGGTAGAATGCAGAATCAGCTGGCAGCTAAATTAGGTTTACAATAAAATGTTTTGGTGCAGTAATTAAAGGAATAGCTTAAATTACTTTTATTTACTTTCTTACCAAGATTTGGACAGGAAGATCAATACCACTCCGATATCTGTGCATTAGCTATGGCACTAGAGCCAAGAGTTAGCTTAGCATTACAACGGTCTATCTTCTATCTAACCATCAGTAAGAACGTTAAATACAGGTATTTCCCAAAGTGTTGTCTCTCTCGTTTTCAGATGTAGTCTATATATATATATATATAAAGCCCCTTATGTTGGTTTGTTTCAGCCAAGTCTGACATATGTTCAGAAACTCTTAACAGTAAGTACAACCTACAATATGCGATTACATTTTAGTACAGAAAGTTGCAGAAGAAGAACATCATTGTCGTTATCTCAGAGTGAGTGCTTGGCTTGATGACTGAGGTTTGGGCTCACGTACCAAGGCCGGCCAGGCGGGAGGCCAAGGTGGCCGGGGAGGAGGGCCTTGCTGCGTGGGCTGTGATGGTGGGAGGCAAGCTGGACGGGGCGGCTGCGTTCTGCATGTTGCTGACCACTGCTGGGGAGCCTGGGCCGAGGTCTATGAGGTTGTCCTCCGTAGCCTCGCTCAAGACCTGGTGAAGAAGAACTGATGAGAAACACTACAGCTCTTTGTTTCGTGTAAAAAGCTAATTGAAGGATTTATGGGTTTCTGGCTCATGAGCAACAAAACAAATCCTGTTTGTGGAAGTCGAAGGAAAAGGAAGAGTTACATAGCGTATGTGTCTAGAATAAAACAAAGAAAAAAACATTGTGGTTCAAATAAAAAGGAAATGAGGGCGTGGTTCATGATGAGAAGAAGTACAATCTTGGAAAACATGTGGGTTAGCTTCAGGAGAGCATGAAAATGTCTGTAACTGAGGATAAGCATGAAATTAAGTAACCTTTTGAAAAACCTGTTTCTTAAGGGGGTTACAGGAATGTTGCTCTTCATTAGAGACACGTTTACCCGTTTATGTGGAGTTATGTGTTGTCAATAACAATAAAAGTGATGTTATCCATTAGGACAAAACAATCCCCTTAAGAAGGTAGGAATACAGCAGGGAGGGAGTGTTTCATATTTGGGCTCTGGAGGAGTTAATATATTAAGACCATTTTACAAATCCCAAACCCTGACTGTTTGAGATAATGCAAACACAACATGACAGTGATTCTAGGGATTCACATTCACTTAGTGCCACGTTAAAGCTCGTGTCACAGTCTACTTCCAGGTTTTATCATTTAATTGGCTGTTGGGGGGGCTGCAAAGTCAAAACATGCCATATGGGGGTGACGGATACTGGTGGAGGTGGAGGCCGGGCCCATATTATATCTAGCCATGTTTCAAGAGTCGCTGTGGGGTGAGGCTGGTCATTTAGGGACAATATTTTCATACTTGCCTGTCTCAGCTAGCCACAGAAACAGAAGAACAGAAAGGAAGAGACAGTGAATACCATTAACATGCCTGTGCAGGGACACACTGTAATGACATGATATCTGTGGAAGATATAGCATGCCTGATTAACTGGAAACCCAATGAAGGGGTAAGCATGTTCCAACAAAGTATCCTTGTCCCCATGCTTCTCATCAGATTCCTGGCAATGTTTTTGGTCCATGTTGGTTTTTTATTGTATAACTAAGAAAATATGAATTGGTGCATACAGAGATGAGATGGAAACGAGAGGAAACGGGGGGGGGGGAGGCATGAAGACAGAGAGACTCCTACTGAAGGCATATAATATATAGTACATGAAGTTGAGGGAATATTGCAAGGCAGGAATGTATTTCAGTACAGCTGTGACAAAGCATGACAAATAGAAGCTGATCAGCACAAAAGTGAGGCTTCTGTGTTTGATAAAAGTCAAAAAAACAGGCATATAAAAGTGATGTTAAAAAATGACTTCTATCTGACGCTGCAACTAGCCGTCAGCTCTCTTGGCTGATGAATCCTAAAGCACCTTTTGGCATAAACCACTGCTCCACAGCTCTGACTGGACTCTTGGTTGTATTTCATTCTGGCATGGACAACACTAGTGGATCTCTACATGCAATCATCCCAACCCCCGTACCAACATGCAATGACTGTGCTTTGCATCGACTCCTGTGTTGTCACAGGCAATGTTTCCCCCTGCTGGACTGGGTTTAAAATGCAACAGGCCTGCACTGACTGTAGACAGAATATTTGAAAACTGTGATATTTGCTTTGCATTTTATAATGAAAGGAAACGCATGCATGTCTTTATTGGATTTCCATTTAATTAGGCATGTAAATCTGGTAAATCACTGATAGATAACAGCACTTGACATGCAATTCCACATTACTGACACTGAAAGGTGCCGACATCAGAGGGTGAGAGAACATGAGCAAAAAGATGACATAGAAGAACTAGCTCAGAAGTATCGGATCCGAACATTAGTTACTAACTGCTGACTCACCCCATTGTTGGCACTGTGAGCTGAGGACCTCCCAGACCTAAACCTCTCATACCTAAAGGCCACCATCAAGGAAGGACAACATGGAAGAAAACAACAATAACAAAAAATCTCTCAGAGTTTACCTCACCAGATCTGTGCAAACATACAATGATGTTGGAGAAAAGATATGTTTTGATATGCATACTTTTTTGTATGAACCTTCATTTTTTTCTGTGTGTTCTGACCTTTCGTAGCGTAGGAAAATATTATTGAGGTCATCGTTGACATGGAGCAGCTCCTCAGTCACTGTCTCATTGGCAACACAGGAGATGAGCTCCACTATCCTCTGCTGCATGGCTCTACAAGTCCTGTTCAGCTCCTAAACACACACACACAGAGGATATATTCATACACACACACGGGGATTAAATAGTGGTCTCAGGTTAAAAATACTAGTTGTATTCTATATATTTGAAGGTAGATGCTTGCACTGACAGGCACACACGCACGCGCACGCACATGCACACACACACACACACGGTTCCTTGCCTGTAGCAACTCATAGTCTGAAGCATCCTCCTGTCCTGGGACCATCTCGGTCAACATCTCCGACATCACTTTAGTGTTTCCACGAACAACGTCCAGCTCACTGCGCAGCCGGCAAATCTGTGTGTTGAGTTAAATTCATCTACAGTTAGTATATTATTAAGAAGTATCAAATTTGAAGCCAATAGTATCGCTTAGGACAGTGGTTCCAGACCGGGGGTACTTGTACTCCAGGGGTACATGGAAAGCTCAACTAATAAATTCAACTCAACTGCCAATCATGGTGCCAATCATCCTGAGTCCATTGTAACAAAACTGATGCACCATGTGTTGTAATTAAAAGTTCATTAAAACTACACAGCAAAGGAGCAGAGAATTTGAAATAGATAGCTAGAAGTTACACATAAACAGTTAAAATACTTAACGTTAGCTCAAAATAATGAACAGTTGAAATAGCTAGCTACAAGTAATGATTAAACAACTGTTAAAACATCCAGTTTCTGCCACTCCAAATGGTCGTAGTGTGAATACAAGCTTAATAAAGGCAAACTCAACACTGACAAAAAGAAGAAGATAGATATATACATACTTTATTCATCCCCAGGGGGGGGAAAGAAGAAACCAGAAAATGTAGGAGTATGTCAGGTTGCTACAGGGCGAGTACAAATGTGAACCAACTGTTTAGTTTCAGTGTGTTTATGGGAGTAGCTCTGTACCTGTTCAGGTGTAGGATTGACGGATCCAGAGGCGAGAATGTTGGGGACCTGAGGGGCGGTGTAGGCTGGTGGGACAGCCTGTGGTGTGGGCTGAGGAGGGGTGCTGAACTGATGTAGGGTGGACTCGCCCTCTGGAGCAGAAGCCAACTAGAAGCAACAGAGAAAGAATATACTGTATTATTATACTGTATATGTACACATTTAAGCTGCTCAGTATTAGGGCTGCCAACAAATATTCTAAATTCGCAAATATATTAGTAATAAAAATGGTTAAAAAAAAAACGAACTAACTAACTTTAGGTCAAGCTGAATGAGGAATAATTCAACAACAGCTGTAATAATGGCAAAGAACAGCAGGTTGGTATCCTATAGATATAGATGAGGCACCGTCATATACAGTAGATAACTCCTCATTCCAACGTCACAATTCAGCCGTTATTCGTCCATTATGCTGCTTTCTAAGCGAGCGACAGGAATAAAATAGATAACAGATATTCTAATAGTTACCTACGTGTTATTTTTTTAGAACAAATCGTCATGTTTGGCAGCCTTAGTTAGTATGACGCCTCCTACCCGCTGAGGTGTGTGTATAGGTGACAGGGTCTCCAGCTCCGACATGGGGAACTCGATGCCTTTCCTCTTTAGCTCCTCATAGACCTGGACCACACCCGTGAGGTCCGGACTGCTCCTGAACGCATCAGCCCATGCCTGGAGAAGGCAAGGGGGAGAAAAGAGTTAAACGGAATGAGAGGGAGACTGAATAGACAAAAAAATGGGTAAAAGGAGGGCTGACACAGCAAACAAAGCAAGGGATGTGAGAATGGTAAAGATGCCTGCTCTCTAATCATTTCGGTTTGTCTGCCTTGAATACATTCAGTCAGCAAACCACGAAGCTCCATGGCTTCTTTTCTCTCACCAGTGGGAAGGTTAACAACTTCGAATTGCTTTAGCGTTGTTAGGACTATTAACTGTGCACACAATGCTCACTTTCACAAAGGTACACAAACCACTGACAGTTGAAACAGGTGGTTAGGGCGCTGCTCAACACAACCGCAGTCTGCAGCTCAGCCGGGTATTACCCATCTCGCCAACAATACTCTCGCTGTTGTGTAAAGAGAGTGCTGTTCGATACATTTTCCCACACCGTTTTCCCAGCAGGCCCGCCTAATGACTAGACAAACAAGCAACAATGGATCTCTTCCCCATCCAGGATCCATGCTGTAAAGTGTAGTCACATGGTTTCAGTGGCGGAAATAAGAGCCGCCCACATGGGTCTAGCAGCGCTACCCGAGCTGTGACAGGTAACGAGAGCTGCTCCTGGCTGAAGCCCTGGAGACACTGTACTTTACCCGAGGCTCTGCCCGGGGATGACAGAACACCTTTTGGACCGTAACACACCCACACTTTACTAAACACCGACACCGGAAACCCCACTTCACCTCTCGCTAACTGACCCAAATCCGATGCTAACGTGCAAGCAATTTCCCCAATTATCTTACCTGAATCAGGGCAAGTACTTTGTCTTGAACGATTGTGGGCGGGTTGTTTTTAGGGGAGATGATTTTAACGAGCACGCCATCAACAAAGTCCCTGCTAGTGACCATAACATGGAAACGATGGCCGCAGTTCTTCACACCCGTCTCCAGGACCTGATGGATGCAGAGAAGAAATCACTGTCACTATAAATCCTGTTATAGGCATCCTAAGTTTAGAAACCCACACATAGATGGACATGTTTTAAATGATCTGTGAAATGCAGATTATTCATATTACATTAAGCGACCGAAAAGAACACAATAACACTTAATTTCAGGACGAGACTACATGAATAACTCTTTTTAATACTGTGGCTTGTAAATACAGTGTAGCTGTCCTTCTCTTGCCCACTTTTAACTCACCGTTAAAGTCAACATCACTTCCCTATAGTTCCTGTTGCCATTCAGCCTCTTCTTCACTGCTCTAATCGCATCCTTTGGCCTGCACACACACATTAAGCACACAAGGATAGCATAGTTCAGTATGCCCACAGCTTTTAAAATCGAATTGATAAAGTAATTCCAAGCAGAACAAACACGATTATAAAGTTGACTTAATGACGGCGGTCTTTAAGGGGCATTTTGAATGGCAGAATGATGGACACACCTGCATAAAGGTGAATACCGGGCACAGGTACACGCCAATGATTCTTTGACTTTTCACATCTCTGCATGAACAAAGTGGATGTTTAACTCTAAGGCAGTAATGATTAACTTTTCAGATCTGCCTCACAGCAGTTTGTGGATGACACCCCTTACATTCCCCAGAGGGGAGAAAAATGTTGAGTCAGACCTATTTTTACCGCTGATACACAGCACACTGCGCTGGGTTAGACCCCGCAAAGGCAGTTTACAACCCGCTAAACAAACAAGACCTGGACGCCACACACCGGCTTAAACATACAGTACAAGGTTAATGGAGGAATGAGATAAGCAACAAGGCCTTGCATAAATCCACCTTACACAGCCAGAGCTGGGCGTCTTCACTTAGTATGACATAGATAAAGAAAAAGGGGAAAAGATTTATTCTGATAAAATACACTGCTCCAGCAATGCATTATCTGAAGCCAGTGCATATAAGAGGGTTAATCAATAACAGATGAGGATATTCATTGTTTTCCCCCCCCTCGGTACTCACCCATCCTCTGTTTCATTGATTAGGTCACATATTTCCATGTTAAGAGTCCAGTCCTCATTTTGCAGAGAGCCATCGGTGGCTCTCTCTGGAAACACACAAGTATTCAGTTAAGAAAATAAGCTAAAAGAGACGTCTGAGTAAAGGACAGCAGACCAATCATAAGACGATGTCTGGCGGCTAGCTGACTGTTAACGTTAGCTTCTATCATTCAGTGTATCAGTCACCCTTTAACATATCTCATATATATTTAGCACTGATTGACAACGGCAGAAAACAGACATTTAGTTTGTTAAACGTACTGCTATCAAAGTGACAAGAGCTGTTACCGCAACTACCACTTAGCTAGGCGGCTAACAGTCCAGCTGTAGAGAACTCATTCAGACACGTTAGCATGCTAAAGGTAAGCACGTAAACGACACATTGATGCATTTCACAGGACATACACAGCTAACCTCACAAGGTGTCGCTTCTTAAACATCTGGTTACATACCAATGCAATGCCCCACTGGGGTACTGTAAGGATTTCCCAAAAGGAACTCCATCTTGCTCGACAACAAACAAGTCAGCCCATGGGTTGATGACGGTTAGACATGAGGAAAAACGTCCCGCCCACACAGCAACATGATTGGCCCAGAAATCCTGACCTTTGGCGTGATTGGACAGCTACAACATCCATCATGAGAGTTGGGCGATTGTAAATAAAAAGGCACCAAAGGTTGCATCAATAAAACTCTAAAGGCAATTTTATGACTGCAACACTCATCCTGATAGATTCTATATAGACACACACAACAGACACATGTTACACTTCCTTTTGACAGACATCTGCAAGTATACTTTTGCCTGGTTTGGGTTTTAATTCACTATAATCTTTACTGACATTTAGCTTACAGAAGGTGGAAAGGGCACAGACATTGTTTATTTCATTTCAACCGTAAAAGCAACAAGATTTTCTGCTGGATGAGGATGCAGTCTTCTGTTCTGAAAAAAATTAAACTTTTTGCAGAAACTTAACTGTGAAGGGGAGAGAGGATACTGATGAATATGTCTTCTGTGTGCAGCATTTAATCTTAAAAATGACAAAATACATACAACCTGGATGATGACAATCTTAATTATAGAAAATAATTTGAATGCAGTATGTTTCACCTTTTGCACCTCCTGCAGTGTACCATTACCAAACCCTTTAAACAGCACAATTAGTATGGATAGTGTGATGTTAGGATAGCATGTGTGCTTGTCAGTATACAAATGTGGCAGAGCGAAAGCAGACACGGAATTAACATTCCACCACCAAACAGACAACACCATTAGTCACTATTCTCCTGAAACCATGCACAGTGTCCAGAATGTTACGGATGACTGGAAACTCGGTGAGGGGTGGCACACTTGGCAGCTGCCACATATTAACACTGCAAAAAGACAGCCAATGTTTTTCACTGGATTGAGATGACTCTATGAACAGATCGCAGACAAAGCAGCTGTCCCTGCTAAACACAACAAACAGGATGAGTTGTTTGTCTGAATGGATATAGAAGCATGGATACACTGAGATGCTTGGTGTGTTCTCAGTTCGAGGTGTGCTCACTGAGAGTTTTATGTCTGAGCTCATTCCTCTCAGTCCTGCATAAGTTTGCGTTTGACAGTCGAACTCTCCGATGTGAGGTGAACCAAAAGAGCTCCGGCTGCCGTCCGTGCCCTCAGCTCATACATGTCATAGTCATGGGCCCACTCCACGCTTCCCCAGTGCTGAATCTGTGCAGGAGCAAAACACATGTTAGAGAATAGTAGGATTGTCTGCAGGGAGAGCAGCAGGAGCTTAATTGCCAAAATGAAGGCGCTGCATGCAGCAGTGCGAGATTTAAAAAAAAATCCTAGCAAAGTCAGCTTCTTCACTGCATTGTACATTGCGTGCTACCAGTTTAGGTTCCATGGGGAATGTGATGAAAACAGAGGAGGGTGCTGTTGTTCCAGAGAAAACAAAGCAAACCATTTCAGCTTTTACAATTACACCTCCAACATGTTTTTTTGCCTGCTCTTCATTTAATCCAATGAAAACTTTGACTGAAGAATAAAAGATTCTCTTTGCAAAATAAATACAGGGATTCCTTAATAACGTGGTTATGAGCAACACTAGCACTATAAACAGTGTCACAAGATAGAGGCTACCAAGCATCTTGACGAAGGACTCATTTGTTTATGGTTAATAAAGGGAAGAAGTACGCTAAACGATACCATCTATAATAAAGTTGATGCTAAAAACGTTTTGCTACTCTCCTACCTGGTATTCCTCCTCCAGTCTGGAGAGCAGCACGGCCTGTTCCACCGTCAGATGTCTGTCAATCATTCCCATGGACAGCACAACAGACTTCAGCTGGGTGATCACATACTCAAGCCCTGCACAGGAGAAACCATATTACTGTATAGCTCTGTCCTACGACAATTAAAGCTCATTAAAATACTGTTAATGCAAACATTATTAATAACACAACTATTACTTATTTACAATTACCACAAACAAAAACATTTCTATCAACACAGTTTTGTCATTAGAGTATGTATGATAATATTTTGCACCACAGTTAAATCATCTAAATCATGAAGTGCACGTAATTGTTAAAAGTGCTTATCTCGGATCAGTTTGGAGATGTTTTACCTGTCAGGGACCAGAAGGTGTAAGAATTCAGGTGTTGCCGGAAAGTGTCTTTGGTGGCCTTTGGGATCTCAGGACCCAAAATACTGGACGAGGAGCCAATAGTGACATTATATCTGCAATTAAGTTGTGGGAAATAAAGACAATGAGGAAAGGATTTAATGTGGTAACTACATTCACGAGGGCTATAAATCGGTATATAAATCGCTTTAACATGTCTCGACTATGACAAAAGCTAATGCTGCTGTTACCTGTTTTCCATCCAGTGCAGCACAGGGTCCCACTCATTCTTCTGTAGCTCAACCAAACTGTGGGGCTCATCGACTCTGTAACTACACCAAACAAACACCAGTAACATTTAAAGCCACAACTGCAGGGAAAGTCACTTTCAAAAACAGCTCTGCAAATAACCAACATGTAAATTCTAAGTGCACAAGCTTGTCTAAAATGCAGGACGGCATCTTTTCTGCAGCAATCAAGTCCAGGATGAAATGATATGTGTGTTGTTTCATCCTTTTCTTGTCATTGTGTTGATTTTGTCTTACAGACAAACACGGCCTTTCAACTGAAAAGGTCTATCTTAAAAAATAAAATAGACATTTAATATATGTTGTCATTGTGTTGATGTTGTTAGAAATGAGCTCCGGCTATATATGGATGTACAGAACACAGACTAAGTAATCGTTGTTATCCATGGCAATAAAGCCAAGTTTTAAAAAGGAAATTTCATTAAGGTTTAGTTAATAAGTTAATATGTAGTATACCAGACAGTGTCAGTGTCCAGGAACTTCAGGGCAGCACTGATCATCTGGTCCTTGTTACGTTGGGTGGGATTGTCCAGAGCTGTGTTGCATAGCGTACTCTGCAGGAAGAGAACCAACATTTCTCTTTCAGTCAGTCAATCAATTTCAGAACAGCATCTTGAAAGATGTCTCAATTCTTAAAATGCATCCCGAGGAGAGAGGAGCTCCAAAGGTATGGTGTATGAAATTAAAAACCACATACAAAAAAAAACTTTGAATATAGCGGTCTTAAAGAATATCAAGCTTTAAAGCTTTACACCCCCTCCAGTTGTACCAGGTGCATAGTGTAGAACTTGAGTGTGTCCCTTTGAGCGTCCCACTCGGTTGCAACGGCGATAGCCAGGGCTTCATTTGGCACAGTGAACAGCTTCCCTCCTGGTGTTTTCAGTTTTCTTCTGTCTAGGTTTATCTCATATAAACCACCTAAATGGAAAAATTGGAAATAATAATTAAACATCTCTCATATCTCAGCTTCACAGTGAAGAGCAATCAATCACAAGAACTGCCATACTCGACCTATTTCTGGTGACTTCTGACACTTACCTTCCCCTTGGGATATACTGACATCTTGATAAAATCTTCTTCTTTCTGGAAACAGTGGAACACATCACATCAGTCAGCACGCGCACAGCAAGGTTAAGTTACAGCATGTGTTGCTGCAGCAGAAAGACAGATATTATGCATATTGATGATGTGTCTTACCTGCTGTGGCTGAGGAGTAATTCAGAGCAAAGCGAAATTGCTGACTTCTTGGGCACATTTGACTGGGAGAGAGGATACTTCCGACATGGCTCTGAAGTCTAACAAGGCTCCTCAGCATAGCGGCAGTTTTGTGACGATGTAACATGAATGTTTTTAAGAAAAGCTAGCTGACAGGCTAGGCTACCCGTTTCGTTTCTGACCTCAGTTCGTTGTATGCCACATTTGTATACGAGTAAATGTTTTTCGTATTAGCATCAGCTCTTGTTTATACTGTGACGTTACTGGCGACCTGTATAACGTTGCTGTACCTCTATTCACTGGTGCACATTTCTTCCTCAGCTTTCTAATAGCATCTCCGTTGTTCTAAAGCGTGCGTGTGACCTTCTGCGTTTGAAAGAGACGCAAATAGTTTTTACAGCAGGGAAGTGTAGTTTTTCTAAGTGCTTTTACGCACTGTAACACTACAGATACAAAACTACAGACGGATATTCGCGTAAAGCCTTCCGCAATTCGCACCAATGGGCGTTAAAGATGTAAGCAAGCTGAACTCTGTTGGCCAATGAGAAGGGCGGATTCTGCTGCTCGAAGTCCACATACTTTTCTGGAAGCTTGGCGCCTGGTAAACTAAACTGTGGAGGATTCGGGGGGAATTTTAATGTTGGTGGACCTCTCAGTCCGCTCCCTCCTCGTCGTAGACGCCGACAGAGACCATCGCTCGGACGGCAATTGACCAGGTTCGGTGCCCAGCTCGCCAAGCGGGAGCCATGCCTGTCCCCGCTGGATACGTCAGCGACTCCCCAGCAGCGGCCTTCGCATCCTCGGCCTCGCTTATTCCACCGCCACCGATAAACACCCAGCAGCCCGGTGTTGTCACCTCGCTGCTGTACAGCGGCTCCAAGTTCAGGGGCCACCAGAAGAGCAAAGGGAACTCGTACGACGTTGAGGTTGTTTTGCAGGTGGGCCTGTTAAACGTGTAATTTACTATTCAGGCCAGCTGTCAGGGGATTTGATGATCTGTCAAACGGGCGCTGTGATGATTGACAGCTGGAAACCCAATGAGCCCTGGCCCTGTGGTTGAGTAACTCGCCGAGCTAGCTGTGGATATAGCAGTGCCATCGACTCTTTACTACAAACACCTTTCAACCACAAAGAGGCATTTTATGTAATGGTGTCATCAAAAACACTGATAGATAGAGACTTCACAGAAGTTTGGCATCTGCATTTGTTGGAGGAGTTTTACAAACCTGCACGTGTATGGCTGTGTTGTGTGAGGGGATATTAGTTATGTCATGACATCCTTTTATATGATTTGATTGCCACTTGCTGTCATTTGAATGTAGAAGAAACTACAGCTGTGAAGTAAACAACATTCTCTGTTGTTTCTTGTGTTCTCGTTGTAAGCATGTCACCATGGAGGATTCCTACCTGTGTGGCTACCTGAAGATAAAAGGACTGACTGAGGTGAGAGGAGTGTTTCCCTTTTTATTAAGCTGCGTCTGGCCACTACTCATTGTTTATATTATGGATACTGTCAGGTTGTGCTACTAACGATTCAACTGTTATTCTGTACAAAACTGAATATCACAAGTTACAGTATCATATAAATCACAATATGACTACAGTGATTGAAGATGAACACGATACACGGTGATTATCAGCACAAGTGACATTCTACCCTATAATTTGTTTTGGGATGAAACATTATACAGACAGTCTTTAGAATAGGCGTGACATACTTTCACTATCAAAGAGAAGAAAACACAAAACGGCATGTATCCGTTCGGCAGTGCCAGAGCAAACGATAACATCACAGGTGTCTGTTGCATTCGCTGTCGCAGGAATACCCAACTCTCACCACGTTCTTCGCCGGGGAGATCATCAGCAGGAAGCGGCCGTTTCTCACCCGTAAATGGGATGCGGATGAGGATGTGGATCGTAAGCACTGGGTAAGGCGGAAGCTTCAGTCATGACCTACACGGGTGCTCTACAGCAGGCTGGTTTTACCGTGACATAATCCGTTTTACTTTTTGTGTCAAGGGCAAGTTCCTGGCTTTCTACCAGTATGCAAAGACGTTCAACTCGGATGATTTTGACTATGAGGATCTGAAGAGCTCTGACTATATTTTCATGAGGTGGAAGGTAAGTTACTGCCTAAATGGAGCGTGGACCATATGTCGTAGTAAGTCACCTCTGAACTGCAGCTGTTTCTATTTCTCACCCCCGTCCGTCCCCGCAGGAGCAGTTCCTGGTCCCCGACCACACAATAAAAGACATCAGCGGAGCTTCCTTTGCCGGATTCTACTACATATGCTTCCAGAAATCCACAGCAACGATCGAGGGCTACTACTATCACAGGAGCTCCGAATGGTAACGCAACACAACACTAGTCGCTGTGAGGGGAAGCGGAGTCATTTTACGAATCGGCAGACTTGTTGCTGAAAGGTTGCTGGATCAAACCCCAGGCCACCTGGAAAATCTGGTTGGAGAAAAGTCCTTAACAGATAAAAATGTCCAGCTTTCAGCAGCGTCTGTCAAGGTGCCCTTAATTCCAAATTTCCCCTTGCTCAGATGTTTAGTGTATGATGAATGTGGCCTTTTGAACAGCTCATAGTTGGACTGTGTAACCTTATATGGATGAAGCAGAACAATCTGACTCTCAGTTTGTAGCATTTGATTAATATGGTTGTCAGGCCTGGCTTTAAGCAAACTGAGGCCTGCTTGTACTTTAGTGTTTTCAATTTCATTTGACATTCTTTGGCATTTCTTTTAACTCCCTCTGCACATAATGGTCTGGCTATTGTTACAGAAGCCCTCTGATTTTATTCCTTTCTCCGACCAATACTTGGAAGCAGTTTTGTTTCCCTCTGTTGTATGTTGGTTTTTCAAAAAGTGATAAATTATTAACAGCCAGCGCTTATGTCATTCCTGCTATAACATTGGCATTTAGCACTATTGTGAGAAATGAAAACAGTATTAACCGCGCAATGGGAACGTTGTTATGGTCTTATAAAGGGCTTGTTTAAGAGAGCAACTCCAGGGTGAACTCTGCCAACCACACATAAAGAAAAGGCTGAATATGAGCATCAGTCCAGACTGTGGTTTGCCCTCAATTCATTCTGTTCCTCAAGTATAACTGACTAATGGCTTTCAAATGTCGACGTCCATCTTTTTATTCTAGTAAAACCTTTCATTTCGGGGGTGTTTTTGACAAACTGGACTGAATTCGACTTCTTTAAGAAGTAAAGTTCAGTTCTGCTTGTTTTGGTGACGCCTCTGTACAGCCCATGTGCAGTTTAATTCAACAGCAAACACTCTGCAGAAATACAACTGAAGAGCACCTGTTATATCTCTTAACTGTGCAGCCAAACAAACTCATAGTTTTAATAAATATGTCAGTCAGTGGTCTGCCTTTTACAGCAGCTCTTCAACTAACTACTGTAGCTGCTCTTCTTGTTACTCTCTGCAAAAACAAAAAATGCTGAAAGGGGTTGTTTTGTTTTTTAAAAGCATATTTGATGAACGATAACAAATACATGGTATTTCCAGTGGCTTACCACTAAAGAAAGCCCCGCCGTGAATCCCCAGTTGAATGCTTTTAATGCTGTAATATGGTGTTAAGTAAGCAAACAGTAACCAGTAAGGCTAAATGAGATCAAACTACACTGGGTTACATGCATCTTGTATAATGAAGGCAGTTTAAATCCAGTAGGGGAGAGGCGGAGTCCGCCACTAACAATGATAACTTGTATATAGGGAGGCAATTGCGGAATGGCCAATGCAGAGAAAATGCTGAACAATATAAAGTAAGAAAAATGGGGGTTAATTTCATTACAAATGTTAAAGATTATGCCTTTTAAACATAATAAACCACCGCAAACTATTTGGATTATCTGATAAATGCTTTGTCACACAGCTGAAAACGGGCTTATGTCATGTACCTCTAACATGTACTGTGTTGTTATGCTGCAGGTACCAGTCTCTAAACCTCACCCACGTTCCCGAGCACAGTGCAGCCATCTATGAGTTCCGATGACCCCGGCCGGCATCGTGGATCTTTTCTTGATGGACACAGACTTGAGGCAAAGCGGAGGTCTGCAGATGCTACCGAGAATGAAAAAAGGAGAACGACTAGGGATGAGAATTTTGGACTCTGGAGAAGTGCAAACTCCTACATGTTCCCAATAACTGGACGGACAGCGGATTGACCGGTGGACGGGGATAGCGGACAAATGAATGTATGGTTGAGATGAGAAGAAAGGAAGAAAGAGCCGTTGTGCTCCCTGGCTGGAGCTTGTAAAGTTCCAACCAGCAGCAGAGACTGGGTGTGGCTCACATAGTGTACCCCTGTCTCCTTTCGTTTTAACGTCTGGTATTAAAAAAAAACGCTTGGCGCAGTATCTCGAGACACTTTATAAACTGAGTTGAGAATTCCCCTTCTTGTTTTGCAACTAGAAGCGTCTACGTTGGACAAGGATTCCTCTGAGGAGTCTGCTCCTATAGACACGATCTCTAAAGAAGTAGCGTCTGTGAGGAAGAAAAGCACGAGAGTAGTTTGGGTTCATGATTGATTGGAGCTTTAATCAGCCCATAAGCTAGAATGGCAGTATTTTTTGGAGCTAAGCTGGGTCTTTGTTTGCCTGCCAAGATGATATTTTGTTATTTTACTCTAATTGATGGAGGCAGAGTGACACTTTTAAAGGCTGCAATGTCAGTGACAAGCAAAACAAGCTTTCCCCCCCCCCCATGTTCATACAACTCCATGGGAGATTATTATCAACATGTGATTGCTGTGGATCTTGCTCTATTGCGTTACATTTGCACAAACATGGACTATATGTTACTAATGCTTGCAGTCAGGATTTACACTTGCGTGCCCTCGTACACAAGGTGGCAGGACAAGCTTTTTAACTCGTTTTTAAGGGTTTGACTGCACGGGGGAGTTCAGAGCCAAAACAATCACTTAAAAGTATTTAAAAAAAAAAAAAAAAAAAAAAAAAAAAAAAGTATTTTTACTTTGCACTCTGCATTTAACAAAGAGCTTTTTACTCCCTCATTTGTCATTTTAAATGAAGATCCCCTCTATCCCCACGTTTCTGTTCCCTCGACTATGCAACACTTTCAACATAGAGCTCTTTAAACATAAAACCTGCAGTTTTCAGAGACAGAATTTTATTCTATCCTCATAGTATATGAAAAGAAAAAGAATCTATCTTAATAAAAGGAAATATTTTTGTTAAATTGCCTGTGAAAACATTACCTGATCATGTTCCCTTCCCACGTGACTGTGCCATCTTTCTAAAGCTTATCAGAGTTGTATTATAACAGTGTGTTTTTTGAGAATAAGCCTGGATTTGATTGACGGTGTGACTGTAAAGAATGGATTTTAAAAAAATCATATCAAAATACCTTTTCACTGTGTCTTGCTTGTTTGACCAATGTGCTACATCATGTGTTTAGGTGATATTTTCATAACACACCTCAAGTTAATTATTATTTACTCATTTTAAAGTCTAAAACATTGTATACAGTTCAATAACAATTCAAAGTATTTGTCAACACTGTCAATTAATAAACTTGATTGTGTACTTGAATGCAAAAAGAAGAGTCGATAACAATCCTTTTTACCCCGCACCGCCCTCTGGTGTTTTGAAACTTTCACACAATCTTTGTTGTTTTAGCATGAAGCCGACACAATATGAATATGACACAATGCTAACATGCTCATGTCAAGCAGGTACAAAGTTTACCATATTCACCATCCTAGGTCAGCATGCTTGCATGCTAATCAATTTGTAAGTCTGCTAAATAGCACTAAACACAAAATACATCTGAGGCTGATGGGAAGGCCATTCATTTTTACTAGTAATTTATTTAAAACCAGTGACCAAAGTGTTGAACAAACTGAAATCTTGACCTACCGATTGTGCTAGATGAAAAATCATTGGTTTAGTTAGTAGGCGTACAATTCATCCTGAAGGGGGCATGAATGTATGTAGCAGATTTCATTGCTATTCATCCAGTAGTTGTGACATCTTACTCAAAACTACAAAAGTCAACCACATGGTGGCGCCAGAGGATAAAGCAGGCACAGTCGTTTTGTGCAAAAAAATCAAGAGATCACCAAAGTTGTTTGGTGAGGATTCATTCATCCGCAGTAAAAATCGTTCATCACAGGACATTTATTCTTGCAAGAAGGAACAGAGTGGAATCACATACGAAATGTAGCTCAAGGCTGCTCGGAGATCTGTCTCCATAGTCTGTGATATGCATACTGAGTAAACAACATGCAGTGGGCCGGCACAGGGTCATTTACGTGACAAAGGGTAACACATTAGTTGCGTTTCACACAGGCGTCTGCGTAGAGTATCTGGAACATCACTTTAACAATTCGTTGTAGAACAAAAGTCACTTTATCGTAATCAGGAAGTCGTGATCGCAAATCAGCCAGGCGTCAGTATTGACGCCGCTTCGGGTTTATTGTGGCTTATTTAGGGTAAACCGCTTGAAGTGTTCTTTCGGCCGTCAATAGAATAAACATTTGCTGAGACACCTGGTGTCACAGAAAGTTCACACGAAACCATTTGAGGACACAGCTTTAAACACGTACAGAGGACATGTATAACATTCACTAATTATTAAATGCATAATAAGTCATTTGGATTTTCCCCCAAACACCCTGTATCTGACATAACCACAGTTCCATAGTGTTACTTTTGGCACAGAGACAGCTGCTTCCTTGTCACTAGTGTCACAAGCAATAGACAATGAAGAGAAAGGAACATCTTGGGATTAGTAAAGTATTTCTGTAATGCTGCCAAGTAGGCTACTCTACTTATGTACAATCTTGAGGTACTTTATTTAAGTACTTCCATTTTCTGCAATAGTTGCCATATTTGATGAATGTATTGAACGCTTAACACTAAAAGTGTCCTGTGGGTTTTTAGCCTAACTATTGGATGGATTTCTAAAGAATTCTGTACAAACATTCATGGTTCCCAGATGATGAATCTTTGGTGATCTTCTAACCTTTATACTAGCGGCACCCTGATCGGAATTTGTACTTCTGAGTGAAATGTTTCAACTACTATTGAAAGATTTTAAATTTGGTTCAGACATTCATGTTCCCCTTTAGGATGAATTGAATTTGTGATCCTTAAACTTATCAAGTCACATTTTCAGTTGGTCCAATGCAATATGAGCAAATACCTTTAAAACGAATGACAATCCCTCACCTGTACTTAGCTGTGCTTAGTGTTAACCAGCCAGTGTTAGCATGCCAACATGCTAATTCAAGATGATGAATAATATGATAAACATCATGACGTGCAATAAAAGTCCCCAGCCGGAATCAAACTGGCAAAGTTGCAGCCATGTGGTATGCGTGAACTGTTGTGGTGGAAAAAAAAACTATTCAATAGTGCAGAGTGAGTCCTAAAATACTGAAACAAGAAACATTGAGGAAAGAAGTTTGTCTTTAAAGTATTTATTCTCTGGCCAGAGAAGGCTTTCATCGTCATACAGACTGCAGAGTCTGCAGAAGAATCAGCAAAGAATCTAGTGTCTCTCTTGCTTATCTCAGCTCACAGGGTGGGGGAACATCAGATATTTACATTATCACAATTGATCAGCAGTTTCATGGTCCCCATTGACCCCTCCAGTCATCCCCTTCATATTCTGAGCCTTGTCACACAAAGACATGTGTCTTTATTGCTCTTGCCTATCTCTGAGAATCTTCACACCTCAACAATCTCTGGATAAACTGCTTCGATAAACTAAGGCAGTTATTTCATTTTGAACATGCAACATACTTTCCTTTTCCCCTCCTACTACCGAGTTCAATTGAGGAAAACAAATTCTCTCTGAATTTAAATTCCAGAAGAGCAGGTATAGCCTCTTCTGGAAGTAAGTACGTGTGTGTGTTCATTTCAAAATCCAAAAAGAAAGTGATTCATATTTGTGTGGTGTCGCACACAAAAGAAATAATTTGAGTGAGAGGTTGTACAACACACACAAAAAATACATGCAGATGTCTGATTAAGATTGTCTTTTAACAGAGGATAAGAATGTGCCCAAAAAAATTACAAGGTTAATAAGATCAAAAATAATAGTAAAACAAACATTACTGTACAAAACATTTACAGCAACTGTGAATCCCCTGGCTATTGCATTTTGGGTGAGTCACATTCCGGAGAGGGTGTATAATGCAAGTAGATTTTACCTTGGGTGTTGCCGTGCATACGTTATTAGATCTCTGTAGATCTGATTTCCTGGCACTGACTATAGAGTACTAGTCACTTGTCTCTTAAGTATTGCACAACTGCTTCCGTCTTGTGATAACACTTCTCATAAGCTGCACACCCTTTTCACGCCCCACTATTTGCTTTGCAGCCTACTGGGCGACGTTCAACCCCTCCTCACTACTATTTACCAAAGACTTTACCATACTGGCATTGATCAAAAGCTTTCCCACCATGTTGCAAGTTTAGTGCCAAGACTGCAGCTTCCTTGTAGCAGCTGCATCAGGCCCAATTACCTTGTGTTAGATTATACCCATGTGATCGAATCAGTATTCCCTTGACAAGAGGCAAACTGTGCGCCAAAACAGATTCTGTTTTCATATGTCCGTGTTTATTTGATCACAGATTGCAGCATGTTTTTTTTAAAGCATGTTAATGAAAAAAAATGCCATGTCCGTTACATGTAACACCATCAACTGTTTGTTTTTTATTTGATTTGATATGGTTCTCCAAAGCAGTGATTCTCAACTGGTGGGTCGCGAAGGGGATTGGAGGGGATTGTTTTTATGCAGCGGAGTTATTCACACTCCTTAACAGTATTTGGCGTTAATGCCTTGTAATGCTAATAGACACCCGCCATTTCACAGTATAGAAGAACACCCACACACTTTGTTTTCGTGTGCTAATTGAGCGAAACGCAAGTACGACACCGACTACATGAGATATGAATGTTCTTACATTGAGGACAAAAGAGGGCAAACACCTCAGTGTGTTTTGTGCGGCGAGGATCTGGCACAAGGAAGTATGAAGCCGTCAAAACTGAAGCGGCATTTGTTAGATCAATACGCAGCGGATAAACTGAAAACGAAGTTGAAAATTTGGGTCGCGGCTTGTCATTAAGGGGTGATGGTGGGTCCCGCAGCGAGACCAGTTGAGAACTGCACCAAAGGCAAACACTAAATTGTTCAATCGTTAATATCTGTGTAAAGGTTGCTTGGCAATCTTGCTCCATCTCATGCAGTATTTTTACTTTCTTAAGAATTTGGCAATGTTTGACAGAGGCTTTGCTGCAAGTCATGAAGCGTGTTTTATGTCACGTCCTCATCTGTTTGGTTTCCATTTAACTGAGTTGCTGAGTTTGCAAGAATTACGTGTCCATATATAATCAAACACAACACAAATGACTTCCTTGTGATGACGAGGAAGGCGTTTTTGCCTCTTCCTCCTTGTTTGTAATTAGTCACGTTTAAATTAAAATGGTCAAAGTGTAGGAAAGTTTTTTGTTTTCAGCCAGTGAATTTTGCAAGATGTTAACATTTGTGTTTGTGTAAATGCCCGGCAGACGTGCAGGGAAACAAATACTATGAGCCACGAACCTGGAAAGTTTCTGACAATTCCATTGTCAGTTCCATTGTCAGTTTCAAGGCAACCTAAACAAAGAAGGGATTGTGAAGTGAGACCAAAGCAAACTAAATGATGCTCTGTGCCTGGGGTGCTTTGTGGAAAGTTGTTTTTTTTCTTGGAAAGGAAGGAAGGTCTTTTTGGCAGACAGATCTTTTTATCACAGTAATACAATGATTGGCACACAGACTGCATAGCTAAACTCTGAACTGACCCTCACAAAAAATGTTATTATCTTTGAGCCTACAAATGATCCTCATGAGTGATCTGTGTTGATGCCCATAGGAATGCACACGATCAAATCTCATTTAGCGTCTCATTTCTTTGCGGCCTCAGACAACAGAGTGTTATATGTGCTAAACCAAGACTCTAGATTTTAGATAATTCCATGAGTATTGTTTTCATCCTTCAGAATGAATCACAACCCATTACATACACAAATTATTAAAGTTGTTTCCTGATTCCCAAAAACTAGACCTAAACATTTTAAAATGGTGACACCATATAATATTTAGATTACACCAAAACTTAAAACAATTCATGTTTTCATTTTTTTTAATTATTGTTCTTGATTGAAGTTAATCATGACAATTTCATTAAAGAAATTATTACTTTCATGCAAATGTACAGGTTTCTGACAAAATGCTGGTTTATTCTCACATAATTTAATTTTATATAGTATGATTAGGATTTCTTATATCCTTAGTATGTTTGTATGTAATATATATTAATAAATATTTAAGATGTGGGAATTTCCAGAGTCAAAATTCCAGAGTCACGGTCCTCTTGTTCAGTGTGGAAACCTCTTGTGGCTTTACACACAGGTGTTGACATCTCCTCGGGTCGTACACGAAGCTGGACAGTCCTGACCTTTTACACCATATCACTGTGTGTGTTTGTGTGAGTGTGTGTGCGATAAAATAACTGGCATCACTTCAGACAAGGACTCCACAC